AGGAATGAGGGGCTGGGGGCCGCACACAGAGGAGGGCTGGGGATCTAATTAAATAACCAACGGTACCTAGACCATGCCCCTAAGCGAGGCAAGGGCGCTCCCGGGCAGATAACGCTGCAGGAAGGATGTGGGGAGGGAGCAGAGATGCGGCAAGGACCGGGAAAGGTGTCAATTAGCAAAGCAAGCTCTGTCATGGGGGTCAGCGAGTGCCGGGATAAAGGGAGACCTGCCAGGAGTCAAGCTGAGCAAAACGTTGCAGAGGAAATGAAAAGGGGGTTTAGCCATATAAATACAGAGCAAACGAGGAGAGAAGAGCGGAGCTGGCTATGCAGCCAGGTTTCAGGGGAGATTAAAGGTAAGCTCAGCAGAGCCCAATACCGAATGAACCCCGCCGGGTCTGAGCAATGATGCTGAGAGCAAGGACAACGCAGGCAGGGGGAGAGGAGGGAGGATTAAACCTGGAGACAGTCCTGCACTGTGTAGGCACCCTCAAAGAAAAGGATGTACTGAAGGCCTGGGAGCACCTCATCCCCAGGTGAGAACATCTCCTGTTCATTAGCAAGGCTCATTAGTGGCTGAGAGGTCAGTGGCAGTACCCAGTGCTGTGGGGAGAGGTGACGTGTCTTCTGCGCTTGTGAGAAGGAAAAATCTCGATCAGACAGCCTGACCCCACGGCACAGTGGGACGGCAGGGTGTGCTTGGAAGAGGGAGCAATTAAAGATATGGAGACAAATGGAAAATAGGACAAAAAAATGAGGGGGACCTGCCAGGGATATATCACACCAGATTAACCTGATAGCTCTCTTTGATAAGGGAACAGATTTCCTAAGCCCAGAAATGTGGTCGATGTAATCTGCCTTGACTTCAGTGAAGTATTTGCTATGATGCCTCATGGGAAATTATGAGTTAAACCAGAGAAAATGTGGATTAGTACGAGAGTTGGAACATGGCTTAGGAAATGGCTAAAGGGGATCAGATTGTGCTGAAAGGGGAGCTGCTGGGGAGGATGGGGGAGCTTCAGCCTTTGGACTACTCTCAGTGGTGTTTCCCATGATGGCTCTGGCCCACAAGGACCAGGGAGCTCCGGTGGGATGTGCTGGTGTTTGTGGGGAGACCCGGGGATTTCTGGGGTGGGGATTTCACACTGCAGGGGCCCGGATGCTACATAATGGTGCAAAAGGCACAAAGTGCATGAAGATGTCTCATGAATGTCCTTCAGCAGGCAGGTGGGAGGACAAGGGTAGCTCAACTTGTCCTTGAAGTGGGGTTTGACACCCAGGTCCACATCATGCAGGATGTGGCTGGAGCCCAGCAGGACCCTGCAGAGGCTGGGGGTAGCCAGGCTGTCTCATCCCCTGCAGAGGTGGGGACACCAGCACACATGCAGTGGGGACACTGCACATCCAGGGATGGGGTGACCAACGGGTGGAGAGCCCACCTCAGAGAGGAGGAAGGGCCCAGAGGCTTGCTTATCCCTAGGGGTCCCAGATCACCCATCTCCGGGGTGTGAAGCATCGCAGGCACAAACTACCTCAGTGGAAGGTGGCACTTCTCCAGAGCAGCCTCTTCCAGGGCACTCTCAGCAGCAACACGTTGCTCTGCCTCCTTTTTCAGGCAAATGAGTATGAGGTGAAGCACAGGAGCTTCACCCGTGGTGCTCCATGTTTATCTCCAGTGCGTCACCTGTCCTGCAGCCTGAGGAGCAGCAGACGCCCGAGCACAGCCAGAAGCAGCAGGCGATGGGGCTGGGGCTTTTTGCGTGCAGGGCGTCCCTGGGCTGAGCCCGCTGTGGAGCACTGGGAGCAGGCAGGTGGGAAGGGAAGGCTCTGGGTACGGGGAGCATGGTGCCGGGCTCCCGACTGCCCCCGCGAGCAACAGCTCTGCGTTTGGAAATGCGCGGCCGGAGGGCCCAGGGATGGATGTAACAAAGACGTTGGGAAATAATGCGCTCTTGAGGTTTGGCACACGGCTCCGTGCATTACAGAATGTTATAAAAATACTGCTAATGGGCCAGAGAGGAGTGGAAACGCACGGCAGAAAGGCTGCCAGAAGCCGAAGCGCGCACATGGGAGCAGGGAGGCCTTGTGTGCAAAGAGGGGAGGGAAGCAGGCAGCCAGGGTGGGCGTCCATCCTTCCGCTCCCATCCCTCCATCCCTTTCTAAGCTGCTTATCTTCATCCTGACCCGGCAGCTCTGCGTGTCTGCACCTCTCCTTTCACCCCTCTGCCCAGCTTTGGGGATGCCCAAGTGCTGACAGACGTGCTGCTGGCCCCCATTGCTCTGCCCTCTGCCAAAAATTGCTGCTGCCTGGTGGACTGGGGTGCAGGCAGCGATGGCATCTGCGTGGGAGAGAAAATGCAGCAGAATCGCTCCCATCAGCAGCGACACAGGTCAGGATGCAGGCAGTGGCGTTGCCGTCCGTGTCACAGGGGTGGCATGGGGGCTCGTAGCCCGGTGCCAGCCCCAGACCTTCCCCGTGGGCATCGCTGCCAGTCAGGCAATGGTGGGAAAGGGACTGGCAGAGGGCAAGCGGCTCCAGGCTCGCCTCCTTCCTCCATGTCTGTCACTGCAGCGGCTGGCGAGAGAAAGAGGAAAAAACATGCGGTTTGACGGAAAACGACATGGAAAAACAACCAAATTAACAGAAAAACAAACAAAGCAAAACCAGAGAGAGGGAGGGGAGGGGAGGGAAGGGGCAAAGCAACAGGAACCACATGTGAGCGAGGAGGCTGGAAGAGCCCGAATGTGTTCTCTGGCCTGATTAGCAAGCTATCAAACATCAGCCACTAATAAATA